ACTACAACGACGACGACGACGACGACGACGACGACGACGACGACGACGACGACGACGACTACTACTACTACTACTACTACTACTACGAATCCGCTTTTTCAGCACCACCGTCGCTATCACCACCATCATGACGACTATCAGCCTCAGCCCCCTTATCCTCACGAACCCCCTCACCATCACCCTCCCCCCCTCGCCCGTCCCTGTCCGCCACTTCCTGCCTGCTGCTCCCTGCTCCCTCATCCTGCTCCGCCCCGACGACGACGAGGTCGACGACGACGACGACGACGACGACGACGACGACGGCGACGGCGGCGGCGGCGGCGGCAACGACGACGGTAGCGGCGGCGGCCACGACGACGGCGGGCACGCCGCAGGTGCGTCTCCTGTCCCCGCCTGACGCGGACGGGCCCGTCCGCGCGACTGGGAACGGCACGACCTGCGGAGGCAAACGAGAAGCCGCAGGCGATCGGGGACTGATCCGGCCAGAAACACCTGAGCAACGAACGGATACAGCAGGGGCTCCCTGAGACCCTGAGACCCCAGGACCCTGAGACCCCAGGACCCCAGGACCCCAGGACGTCCATTGATTCTTGGTGTGGGAACGTCACGCTTTCCATAGCAAAACCATCGAAACCCAAGAAACCCAGGGCACCCTAGAGGCAAGCAGGGTGTTTCTTGGCATCGGTCTCCACTGCACTGGTCTTGCGCAAGATGACATAGCGACCCTACGCCGCGGCTTACGCGGGCCGCCAGCGAGGCACACCGCGCGGAGAAGAGGGCGCTCAAGCGCGGCCTCACGCGGGAAGCTTGGGCGCGAATGTCCGCGCAATGGGACCCTTTGCTCTGCGTCGCTCACGTGCAGGGGAGAGGGACGAAGAGGAAGGAGCATGACGGGAGGAGTGGGCAGAGACGAAAGGAGAGAGACGTCTAGGGTCTAGGGCAGCGCCACCCCCCGTCGAATCAAAACCTCGGAATTGGATCTGCGAACAACCTGATCGGAAGAAACCAAAACATCGCGCATCGGATCGCACCAGAATCGGAAACCAGACCGCCCCACGGACCCGAAACGGAAGCGATCCCGCCGCTCCGGAGTCGACATCGGGATCGAAACAGCTGCGGAAAGGGAGGGAGGGAAGGCAAAGGCAGGAGAGTAAAGGCAAGGAGGCATGAGCAGCGGGAGGAGAGAGAAAGTCCCACCAGCCCTTTAGGGCGTAAGGTGGTTTAGGGAGCCTCCTCTTCCACCCCTGCCTCGTCCCCTTCGATCAGGGGTTTGCCCCTCCCCCTAACCCCTCCCCGCGACCTGGACGGGGGGGTTCGCGGGTAGTTGGAGCGTCCAAAACGGCCTCGGCGAGGAAGCCAAAATCATTGGTTTTACTAAGGTTTTGGCCCGATGTTGGCCTTCTGGGGGGCGGGGCTAACTAGGGACCCCCCCTTCTTTAATCGATCTCCTCCGAGATGGCCCCTCTTGGGGCACTCCCAAGGCTCCCAAGGGTGCCCCAAGGGGGCCCCAAGAGGTGGCCACGAGGCCCCAAGAGGCCCCCAAGAGGCCCCCAGGATGCCCCCAAGAAGCTCCCAAGAGACCCCCAAGAGGCCCCAAGAGGCCCCAAGAGGCCCCCCAGAGGCACCCAAGACGCTCCAAGAGGCCTCGGCGAGAATGCTAAAATCATTGATTGACTAAGGTGTTGGCCACATTTTGGCCTCCCAGGTGGAAGGGCACTGATTAAGATGACTCCAAGACTGGGAGAGCCCAAGATGACCTCCAAGATGGCTCAATATATCCCAAGATGCCTCAAGATGGCTCACACGATGCTCCAAGAGGCCCCAAGACCGCTCCAAGACGGCTTCACGTGGCCAAAGATCTCTCAAGGAGGCCCCGAAGAGGCCAAAATCCTTCCGAAACTTTAGGAACATCAATGTTTTTGGCTTTCTCGCCTTTTCGCTTCCGATGGCCATCCGAGGCCTCAAGATGGCTCCAAGATGGCCCAAGAGGGCTCCAAGAGAGGCTCAAGAGAGCCCCAAGACAGCCCCAAAGAGCGCCCAAGAGGCCTCCAAGAGGCTCCCAACAAACCCCCAAGAGGCCCCAAGAAGCTCTCCGAGGCACCCAAGACGCTCTAAGAGGCGTCTGGGACCGCCAAGAGGCCCCCTAAGACGCTCCAAGAGGCCTCCACTGGGGGACCCTTCCCCTGTGTGCTGCCCGCTTCCCTGATCGAGGCAATTCCTCCGGGCATCGTTCTGGATGGGCTGGTGGGGTGACGCGAAGCGCCTAGAACTTCCGAGCCCCTTCTGTGAGCCACTTCCTTGCGGGGGGGTCCATGTTTGGCCCCGTCCTGCTGCTGCTGCTGCTGCTGCTGCTGCTGCTGCTGCTGCTGCTGCTGCTGCTCCTGAGGCAGGAGGAAGCGGAGGAGCCCACAAGAATGCAGAGTGCCGTTCGGGAAGAGCTCATCGAGGACCGGAAGCAACTGGGCCACCCAGCTTCGCGCACTGTGCCCCACGGCGGTGCGCGACGCGCGACTACCTTCGCACCACAGCGCAGCCAAGTTTGAAAGGGCCCAGGACACACAAATAAATGCACACAAATAACAGGATGCCCCATATTTTCCTGTATTTTCTGGGTTTTTGTCTTCCCGCCCACTTCCCATATTTTCCCATATTTTCTCGGGAATCGAAGATTAATTGTGTCTGTGTGTTTCTTTTCCTCCGGAAAATTGTAGAAGAGCAACCGCTCTTGGACCGCTCTTGGCCCAAGCCGCGCCGCGCGAAGCGCGGCAACCTTCGCGCCCCTGGGGGTGGCCTCGAACCAATCCAGGAGCGAGGAGAAGCGACACCGACAGCACCAGTGCGAGAAACCAGGAGGGGTCATCCTGGTGATGCAGTCCCGTCCCCAGCCCAGGGAGGCATCATAAAGCTCCTCGCTGGAGGTAGCACCCCTGGTGGTGGTGTCGCTTGTCTCTCCCCTGGCGATCCGCGACTCCCTTGTGTGCCCTAGTACACCCTGCGAAATGCTTAAGAAATCATGGGTTAAGAAATTCATAGTCTCAGAACTTGCATAAAAACCCAACATGTCTATCAACATCTTAAGGTTTACATTGAAACGTTAAGAATAATCGAGACTCTGGCCGAAAACTTGGGTTTTCTTAAGCATCGCCTAAGGTGTAGGCCCCCATCAGCGATGAATGCGCGATGGGGGGTCGATGCATCCCCCCCTGAGCAGACGCCCCCTAACGCTGCCCCTGAGCCGGGCGCCGCGCTCTCCGCAGCTCCCTGGCACTGGGAGGGCAAGCCCTCGCGCCCCGCTGCCAGTGGCCGACGCGCCAGCAGCCCCGCGCGCGTCTCCGGCCAGGTCGCGAAGGCCACGGCGACCGCCACGCGCGGGAAGAGCGCCCGGAACTGGCAGAGCGCGGCGAGGCACGAGGCGCACGGCGTGTGCGCCGAATAGAGCCGCACCGTCCCCGTGCAGCGCTGCGCGGCGCCAGCCTCCGCCCCCGCGGGCACGCCCGACAGCAGCCGCTCGGCCACGCGCAGGAGGGCCCTTCGCTCCGCGTGCTGCGCGCGCGCGCGGCCGCCGAGCACGGGCGGCAGCAGCTCATCGCCGCGGCCCCACAGGTGCGGCCCGTGCGCCACCACCCAGCCGTCGCTGCGGAAGCGCCTCGCGGCGGGCGCCGCGCCGCCGCCCGCGGCGTCCGGGCCCTCCTCCCGGCGCACCAGGTGCGAGACCCAGACCACCAGATCGCGGCCCACCGGCTCCTCGGGCACGGAGGGCTCCCGCGCCGCGCCGCCCTGCTCGCCGGCGGCCCCGCTGCGCTGCAGCGAGCGCCAGAGGGCCTCCCCGCACGCCGACTGCGCGGCGGCCACCCAGGGCTCCGCGCCCGCCGCCATGCCGAGGGCGGCGAGGGCCTCCACGGTGAAGAAGGTGCCCAGGCCGAACTGCAGCGCCAGCCTCGGGAGCTCGCGCGGCCTGGCCCCGCGGCAGAGGCCCAGCAAGCCAAGCAGCATGGGCTCGTACACGCGCTCACGGAATGCTGCCTCCAGCGGGCCGCCCAGCCGGCCGTGGCGGTGCAGGGTGTCCATGGCCAGGACAACGTAGACGCCCCAGGAGGCGGCCGCACCGGGGTCCGCGCCCGCCTTCGCAGGCACCGCGGTGCCCTGCTCCTCCCCCTCGCCCTCCCGCTCCTGCAGCAGCCTCGTGGCCTGGTCTCGCACCTCGGCCAACAGCCGGTCCCTGTGCTGTCCGGGGGCACCCTCTCGCAACAGACGGCCTTCGACAGTGCTGCACGCCCTCACCAGCGCGCAGAGGCCCGCCGTGCTGGGTGCGACCCCCGACCGCTGCGCGTCCTCCAGGAGCGCGAGGCCTCGCTCCCAACGCCCCCCCCGCTCGCACAGGGTGAGCACGATGTCGCAGGAGACGCCGTCGAGCCTTAGCCGTGCCCGCGTGACGTCCTCGAGCACGGCCAGGCCCTTCTGCCACTGCCTGCCGCGTTGGCACGCCGCCATCAGCGCGCTCAGCAGGTGCAGGTCTGGAGCGAGGCCCTGCTCCGAAGCCTCCTCCACCAATGCGAGGCTGCGCTGCCAGTCGCCCCCCTTCGCGCAAGCGCTCGCGGCGGTGCTGCAGCTCCGCACGTCCGCCGCCACCGCCGCCCCCCGCATCGCGCGTAGGACCTCTAAGGCGTGCTGCCACTTGCCGCCGCGCTCACAGGCGCTCATGGCGACGTTGAACGTCACCACGCCAGGGGCCGTCGACGGCTGGCGCAGCAGGTCGAAGAGCAGGGCGAGCCCGTGCTCCCACCTGCTACTCCGAGCGCAGCCGGCGATGGCGGCGTTGACGCCAAAGCTGTCCGGGGCTCCCCGCGAGCCGCGGGCAGCCCGCAGCACCTCCAGGCCAGCGTCCCAGGGGCAGCTGCTGCTCCGCCTCTCCCCGCGGGCCGCTGCCGGCGCAGCGCCGTCCCGGTGCCCCTCTGCTTCTGCGAGGGGGCGCGCAGGGGGGCACGCTTCTCGGGTGGACGTCAGCGGGGGGAGAATGAGCAGGGGGGCGATCGGGAGCCAAACTTCTGCCACCGCGGCCCGCAGAGGTGCTGGAGAGGCGCGCCTTTCCTCCCCCCCCCCCCCGCTCATCCATTTTACCCCCCCCCCCCTGCCGTCCGCCCGAGCTGACTGGGCGGCAGTCCCGGCCAGCCCCCGCTGCGGGGTGGCGCGCGCGGCGCGGCAGAGGCTACCGCGGCAAGGCGGCGGCCAACGCCGCCACTGCCGCGGCCACCGCCAGAGGCCTTCCATCGCAGCCACCTGGGGTGTTCAGCCGCGCTGTCCTGAGCCAAGGCGACT